GTTTCAAAATCAAATACAAACCCTGAAAATGGCCCAGATGCCTGGAGTTATACCCATGAGTTAAAATGGATGCTGTAAATAACAAGAGAAAAGCCACAAATTCACATGCTTTCCAAATTTGAATATCAGCACGATTAGGTCGTACGAATTAGAAATTTGATAAACTCATAAACCACAGTTCACCACCACCATAATAAATATTTTGGCACTTTCTTAAGGAAGAGATTCGTGTGTTATTATGCTTGTTGGTTTGTTTGGTTTTCCCCCCAGGCTTCATCAGAGGTAGCAACAGATACTAGTTTTCTTTACGTGGTTCGGTAATTCTGGCACTTCACTTTTTTCAGATCAAGTTAAACAGGCTGTTGAATGGATGAGAGTAGTCTATTCATAGGTCTCATTTCCTTACTAAAGACTTCAAATGAAATGCACTTGCTTTCTAATGTGATAGAAATCTCCAAGATAGTTTCACAAGTCCACATATTTGGAATGAAAGTGATAGCTGGTTGTACACACTAAGAGGGGTTGTCCTGTGAGCAGCAAGGCTTACCAAGTGGTGGTTTGTATTCTGTGACCTCTTTACTTGTACCACATGCTCAAGAGGAAATCAGGAGTGACTTCTGACTTCTCTCCCTCCCCAATATCCTCACCCTCCTCTCTCCTTCACACATGGGTACCTTTAAGCTGTATAGATTGCATTTTCTTCCACCCCCTTCTCAATTTCCTGATGAGATTTTAATTTCCTTAGTCCACAGAATATAATCCTTTCATTCATATTTTACATTAATTCCTTACCAATTAAGTTAGTACATTCATGTCAATGTTATAATTTTTAATGGGCCCACCTTACCTTATTAAGCAATCTATATTCCATGTTAAAAAATCAGATTGAAGAAACAAAATTTAGTCACCAGTGTCTTCCTGGTTCTCACCGGATATCTGTTCCGTTTTCAAGATAAGTGAAATATCTGGAAATCTGAACTAAATTTCTTAAGGATATGCCTCTTGGAATTTTTCCATCATGTTTCTATTTAGTTGATAAAATAATGCCAAGTAACTCTCTAAATCAAATCAAACTGGTTTCTGGTAACACATTTTTTAAGCTTTTTGTTTTTGATTGCTGTAAGAACAAACATGAGATCTTCCCTCTCATAAATTTTCAAGTAGACACATTGTAGCATGAACATTAAGCGCATTGCTGATTATACAATAGATCCCCAACACTTATTTCTCTCATAGACTTGAAAAGCTGCTTGTTTCTTTACATGCATGCGTAAGTAGTGACAAACCCTCTTTTTTTTTAATTTTGGGAAGTTTATCCTATTAAATGTGAACATATTACAGCATAGGCAAGAAAAGAATGGTTTGTGATTTGAACAGAAAAAAAAAAGAAATTTAAAACTAAAAACATGGGCAATTTTTTAGGAAATGACTATTTCCAGAGATACTTCTCTTTCCATTTAAAAAGCAACAAAATATCCTTGGTGCCCCACACAGTCAACTCCAAAGGAAATTTACGATGGAGTCCAGCTAGCACGCCAGCCAACAACAAACGCATTTAAAACCAGTGACAACACAAATCCACGAAGTTTGTAAAAGAATGTGATCGTTGTCAGAAGGAATCGGTCCCGGCCTGCTTCTGTGTAGCTCTGTTTGCGCTGGGATCCACTGCTGAGGGGCGCAGGGCAGTCCCTTCAAGGCTGGTGGGCGCAGACCCGCCCGAGAATGAATTCTGCATACTGCACGGATCAAGGCTCAGCGCAGGCCAGTCACATTGCATCTGGGATCAACCAATTGTGCTTCATGCAACCGTCAGCCCTCATTTATGTCTCGCTGTATTCTTCTGTCCAGCTGTAAACAGGGCAGGCACAAGTTGTCTCCCTACCCTGATCCACACAGGCAGATCACACAGGCACACCACGTCGGCAGCCTCGGAGCTCAAGTCAAAGTTCTCCCTCGCAGACAACAGTTCCAGTGTACTCTGGGGGAAGTGACAAAGAGACACCACTTCAGAATGACAGAATTAGAGTCCCCCCCTTTTTTTTTTTGGAAATGCATGCCTTAGATTCTTACCCAGACTGGTTTGGCACATCTCTTCCATGAAATGAAATTAGATGCTGGTAATATGAACAACTGTGGTGTTTTGTTTTCTCAACAGATTAGTTCAACAGATTCATCTTCTTGAGGATGGTAGGGGAGGGGGGATGGGTTTTGTTATTTTACTGCTCAGAGCTTTACTTGGATCAGCCAAACAAACAAACAAAAAGACATGGATAGAAATTCTGCCAATCTGGTGTCAAGCTGGTCCAGCTCCAGGAAGTTAATCGTGCCTGCATCCCTGGGAAGAGAGCCATGATGGCTGTGGAGGAGCAGGTAGGTTGGTTTCTGTTCTTATCCACCTTAACCACAGTGCAGCCCTTACAACCTAGCACAATGTCATGAAAAGAGTCCTCACGTCAGTAAGGAAACAGAGGGAGTGTTTCTGAAGCCCTCTTGCTTCAGCAGTGGCATAAAGGTACGGTATAGTCTTTACTACATCCAATCCTCCTACCCAGCTGGTCTATGTCTAAGGTATATGTCCCTTCTGACTTTCACTTAGGCAACCTGGACTGTTACCTCTTTTTTATTCTCTCAGTCTATTACTTTGTTGATGGAAGGGATAAGAGCCATACTAACACCTCATGGTAGGTGATGTGGACAGAAAGCCCTGCCTCAATGCGAGAAGACGGGGGAGGGAAAGATGCAATTTCATGGGAGAAGAGGATAATAGGATATTTTAACATTTTTGTGCTTTTTCTGTAACTAATCTGATAGGGACCTCTTGTTTTCATGTTTTAGAGTCCTTGGACTAAACATACACAATTTAAAAGAAAAACAAGTGAAGTTGTGTACTTTTTAAAGCAATCACCAAATGTCTATCACTAAGAACTGAATTAATATTCAGCCTGAATTGCCTCAGAAGACAAAGAAAAAATACAAAATTATTTCTAAGTTGTGGTGAGCAGAAATACCTATAGAGATCCTTACTTGTAAAACTCGTAATAGCAGAAAGTAAATATTACAATTGTACGTGTGCTTCAGGAACAATGCCTGAATGTAAACCGCAAATCCTGTGATCATGTTGGCCTTGAAACTTTTGTACCTAGAGAGATATTGATGCACTTATCCAACTCACCATCTGGTGACTGAATGAATTCTTCACCATTACCAGCAATTCTCTCCCTGCTTCTTTTTCTCAAAGTTCTCTGAACCAATCCCCCCTACACACACACACACACACACACACACACACTTCTCTATGATTACTCCTAGGACCTATATTCATGAGTGGTTTTCTGTTTTGAAAGAATATAAATATAGTTCATTAAG